GGTTTCTTTTCCGAATTGTAATTAGCATTTTCGAGTATCTCGTGGATGGGGGCGTGGATTCAGTCGTGGAGTTATTTCTTAGAGCTGGTATGGTTCATGTCAATGGGACTAGAATAAAATAAACGAAAGTTTCGATTATGTTATGCAAGTTTCGTATTCTTATTTTTATTATTTGAAGATACGGAAATTTTTATTGGTTCAAAAATGGGTTTGATCATGATATTTTTTATATATGTTCGAATAATGGTTGTAAGATCGGGTTTTTGAGAATTATTGCTGATTTTTTTATGGTAAAATTTGGACATTATAGGTTCCTATTATTAGTCTCAATCTCTACAATATAATATCCAAACTTTTAAATATTTACAAGTGCAACTAAAGTATGATAAAGTAATTCAAACTTAAATAATAATACCTCGGATTCTAGTCATCAGAAGACCATAAATGTGGATCTCCAATCATTCCAATATGAATTCATATGCTTAATGCGGAAACAACTACATTTCCATGGTAATTATTTATAAAGTGATTAATATTTATGTCACCCCTAACCAGGACGACGGAAATGTCCGGGGGCGGATGACGTCATTTTTTAATATCATAGCAGTTGAATATAAATGATACCTAGCAACCAAAAATTATACATTACAATATACCGGCATTCACTGCTTACATATTGCACTTGTTTATCAATTACACAAAAATAACACAAAGCACGATGTCTCAAAAAGATAACAAAATATCTAGATTCGAGGCTCGAGTACTTGTTCACTGAGTCCCTGAGAATACAAGTTATTTTAAAAGGCGTCAACATAGAATGTTTGTGAGTTTATAAGCACGTTTGAAAGAAAACTTTCTAGCATATTTGTTTGTAATAAGTTGAAAATTGCATAAATCTAGTATTTTCTATAAAAGTAGATTGTGAGTCTCGTTCCAAAAATCATGTATAATTGCATGTATGGTCTTTGCTTTCCTTTATTTGTATGTGTAAAGAGTTGGTTTCCAAAAAATCCTATATCTTGTGTATATAAAGAGTTGTGGTCTTAAAACCCTGATAGTTTACAAAATATACGAAACATAGTTGTGTATTTTATAAAACTAGGAGAGTATAAATCCTTCATAAATTCAAATGATATTTGTTAACCTCCTCTAACTCCATCGCTGCCCTCCTTTTCCATTTCTTACCCCCACCGAGAACATGGCATTCCTACAATGACATCCGTCAAAAAGTCTATAACATTAAAAATTAGTATCACAAATTTGATTTATAATTCTAATCATGGGTCCTATTTTGGTTTGATGCTTCCATGAATTAATTTTTTGTCACAATGTTTGGCGTTTGCTTTTTTATTTCGTTTTGTCCGTCATCATATGTTTTCCAAATTGCATTTAGCAATTTCGAGTATCTCGTGCCGGAATCAGGATGGGGGCGTGGATTCAATCCTGCAGTTATTTCTTGCAGCCGGTTTTTCTTGGAGCCAGTTTGGTTACTTTCATTGGCACCAGAATAAAATAAACAGAAGTTTCGATTATGTTATGCAATTTTCATATTCTTATTTTTATTATTTGAAGATATGGAAATTTTTACAGGTTCGGAAATGGTTTTGATCATGATATTTTTTATATATGATATTTTTTTATATATTTTTTATATACGACCGATTAATGGTTTTCAGAATGGGTCTCAATCTTAAATATATAATATCCAAAAAATTTAATATTTGCAAGTGCAACTAAAATATGATCAAGTAATTTAAACTTTAATAATAATACCTTGAATTCTAGTCATTAGAAGACAATACATGTGGATCTCCAAACATTTCAATGTGAATTAATATGCTTAATGTGGAAGCAACTACATTGCCATGGTAATTATTTATAAAGTGATTAATATTTACTTGAACTGGAAAACCTCTTTTTACATTAAGTTCCACTTTAAGAAAATGTGAAACCAGTTTATTTGGTTAACCTAAAAAACCTATATATTGATTGGATTAACCCATAGAAACATATGTACTGTTACATAAATAGAATCCATAGAAAGCTCATGAAAGTAATTCTGGAGGAAATATACACCAAATACCATTCTTTGAACTACAATATCCACTATTACCTCCGATGACCAAAAATTGCAAAATGAACGAGAAGTTTTCTGATAATTAAGAAGCACACAATCTTTCCAAATTAGAATTTGTGTATCTCAAGATCTAGTATGTATCTGCATGCATATAAAAAATCTCGACTAACATAGACGGGATTGTTCCTAATTAATGATATTTTTTTAAAGTAAAAAGTCGTGATATTTCAAATATTTGGACTTTTCAACTGCATTGTACTTGAAACTTGGAAGCTAAATGTACATTATACACAAACATATAGATATCTTTGTCAATCTTAGTTGTATCTTCCTTTTTCAAAATGATGTGTCAACATTGGTTTATGACTCCACTAGAGCATAATTAGTTTTAAGTTCAATAAATCAAACTTCTCATTACAATATTAGCGTGAAAAGGCTATCAAAGTGATGAATGTAGGCACACAAATTGAGGGGAAGTGTCCAAAAATAATAGCATCTGAAAGAAGATATTATCGATCAAAATAAGGCATTTTCCCTTGTGGGGAATCTTATGAGTGGCTTACTTCTGGTACATCAAAATAAAAACCTAATACAATATTTTTGCGAATCGTAGGAAATTTAGAAATATTGCAAACGAATGTTACAGCCTTATCCAAAATATTATTTAATTAAACCAATATCATTATTACTAACAAGCAAACTATATTGCATCCTGACCCAATTTTGACCACGGGGTGTTTGGATCCTCTTCTAGTTTTAATATGTGGACTGCATTCTAAAAAATAATTTTAAATCGGGCTAAAATTGTAAAAGAGGCATACCAAATTGATAAAAACAATTGAAATTAGGCTAAATCTGTATCGTCGTGATTTTCACCATAATTTTTTTTCATTTTAAAACGTTTACTTAACAGAATACGTTAGCGGAAGACTTAGTTTTTAATTCAAAACCACAACGTTACTTCACAAACTCAAACATAATTCCAAACTAGTTAAAATGTAAACAAAAGTACTTTAAAGTAAATAATCAAAATATGTCCAAGAGTAGTATCGTTAATACAAATCTACCCATAAGAACCCCTCTCACCAATGCCAATCTTCTAAACCGCTTGCACCAATCATAAGGCACAAAAGATAGAATATATAAGTGTTAGCCCTTGCTGAGTGAGGTCATAAAGTTGTATATAAAACATACAAACCCCAAATGGGTCAATCATTCATTTTTCAATGAAGCGTAAGGCACAAAAGAGAGAAGGTACAAGTGTCAGCCCTGCCGAGTGAGTTTACAAAGTTGTATACAAAACATACAAACCCCAAACGGGTCAATCATTCATTTTACAATGAAGCATAAAAATGACGGACAAATACCACTTAGAAAACAACCGCATATCATAACTATTCAATCACATATTCAACCGCATACATGCATATATGTTTAAACATAATTCTACCACATAACGTATATGATTAACCAAATACCACATAAGCAACCACATAGCATATGAATAATCACCTTTCATATATAAGCAACCTTTAATTGTTCAACCTTTTATCAATAACCAACCTTTTATTACATATTCAACCTTTTAATATACAACCAACCTTTGTTATATAATACACCTTTTAATATGTGACCAACCTTTTGTTACTTATTCAACCTTTTATTATATATATCCAACCGATTGATAGAAAAGTGTCCCTTAGTGCTACCCAACCCAAGAGAAACACCCCGTTCACTACCTGTGTGCACGGCCAACCGAATGCTCTAAGTGGCTCATGACTTCCACCCGAAGCAACAACCCCGTGACTCCACTTTCGCTACTCCGACTTTGCAAAGTACAAGTACCTCGCGGAGTCGTTCAGGATCAGTACAAATAGTGTCAATTCTACCGATACACCTCCCGATTCCCACGTGATGTTTGATCCAGCTACACCATAAAGCCAACACCACTCCAGTTCCCGTACACCGAGGTGCACGCGAACCATGTGTCACACGGCCGTCTACATAGACGGTGTAACTGATCACCGTTATGGCTTAAGCTCTTTCAACCGATTAAACTTGCAAGGTTCTACCCATGACACAATTATACCCCAAAAACAAACAATCATACATCAACGTAAACATGCTACTCATACATACCTTAATGAGCAATGCAACATATAATAAAATTCATCATCTTATCACCTTGTTATGACATATGTCTACCAACGCATTACATCTTTAATTCAAAATGAGCATGCTAGATGATCAACCAATTCAAGCAATGTAACAAAAAGACATACCATCAATCAAGCATAACATATGAATATGGGGTTTCATTAGGCACAATCGTCACAAGCAATTTCAACCAACACATATCAATCATAATTCAAGCAACTTAAGCTAGCATGCTACATACATTGAGTTCATCAAAGTGTAAGCAACATAACAATTAGGTCATAACATGGAATATGCACAAATCATATATTAGCATCAAACATATCATATCATCATCAAGCACCAGTTATGACATGGTCATCCCAAATTGAATTAAATCACCATCTACGGATTGCACGTTTCAATCATGCAACCTTAGTGAGTTAAAACTATGAACTCACCTTTAGCCTTGAAGAAATCCTCCTTCTATTCCAAGTTTTGAACTTACATGAAATTCTCAAGGCCATATCTAAACACACATATAACAAGCAATTAGCAAATAAAGTATATGTTTCGAAAATAAAACTTTATGCTAACATTTATGTATATATATTTTTTTATAATTCCCCACCCAACCCCCGTTCAGTACGTTAAGCATAAAACCGAATGTACAGATCTAATTAGGACGACATCAGCCTTTCAGGAAACTAGACTCAATTTCCTAGAACTTCATGAGAGAGCAACATCTTCCAATTCTACCCAGATTAGCAGCTATAGCTCTCACAAGATGGGGAAAAGTTGCTGTGCAGAATTCCAACATTCACCAAAAATCACCATATGCTTCGAGACTTTAGGTAAAGGATTACAGTCACTTAATTTTACACACAAAATGATTGAATGATACTATTAAGACAATATCATATCTATTATTTAATTTGTTCTATTGTCTTTCAAACTATTTAAATGTTATGGATAATGTGATGTATTTGTTTTACGTTTCTTTTATTCCAAAACAATTATAAAGGCATAAAGCCATCACTAATTTTATGTCTATTAAGCTTCATGTTATGATAACAAACAGAAGAATAAATCGTAAACACTCCAATAGGTTTACTCTTACTGTTTCTTTTTTTGCTATTTTTTACAATTAAGATTAATTAGCTAGTATATTACCTCCAAAATGTATGCATCATTTTTCCTTTTCAAAGTCAAAATATATATGTTGCAACAGCACTACTGAGACACCATAGGGTTTAGATATGCATGAACTATTAACTCATAATTGGGGATTTTTAGAATAGGACCAATGACAGCAACAATTCGATACCACATGTGTTGATATTTCAAGGATAAACTAGAGTAGTTTGGGTAGAAACAATTATGAAACGGAAACGAGAGGAGGAATACATACACATCAATTAAGACGTTAGGAAGAATAGGACCGGAAAGAAACGAATCAAATTCTACAGGAAAGATGATAGCAAGTGTGAAACAAAAGGTAAAGAAAGTTTACCGTGTTGTGACGACATACAGTTGCAGCACAATGTAGTGATCGGTTTGCAGCAGTAAGTCGTCGGAAACACACCACACACCCGTCGCTGTTTGTTTCTTTCAATCACTCTCGCGCTTTCTCCCGTTGGAGTCGATATCGTCTTACTTACGTCGAGCATGAAGCAGCCGTCAACAGAGGAGTACGATCTTTTCTTCTTAGGTTGAGGACAGGCACAAGAATCGCATCTCTAAATATTATTAAAAGAGAACCTTAAATTCTAAATTGAAGAATTAAGGACCCTTGATTGTATTTCACTTCTATTATCTCCACCTTCAGATCATTTTAATGACGTCATCTTCAAATATACTCATGCTTCAAATTGTAACATACCTCTTATGTTTCAAACCTAATTTCATTCCTCGGTTTTTTTTTTTCTGCACACAGCCATTGTGCAAGAAACCATCGTCAAAGGCTCTCAAAGCATATCTCCTATGTCTCTCCTTTATCTCTTGAGTCTTTGGCAGCCATTTGTTACCACCACTGTCAATATATGCTGCTAATACAACCTACAAGAAGGTAACCGACCATCCCATCTAATCTTTATTTTAGTTTTTGTTTATCATAGATACACATTGTGGTTTTGAATTTTTTCGGTGTTTTTTTGTTAGTCGAACAGATGCCAAGAGCATATATCAACATCGCCATGATCTTCTTAGTTTTCTAATTCATGTACCTCTATCTATTTTGTTCTAAACCTTAATCCATTCCTTCAATCTGTACCAGAAAACATAACCCTATTGAATCGATCCAATGTGTTATCACTGAATCGATACCAGAAATCGGTACCACAGGAGACAGTTGAGGTCATAGCACAGAGCATTGACATAAATAATTTGTCTCCAGATGCTGAATTAGCTCTTGCTCCTGATGTAGAATACCGAATGTGTGAAATAGTGCAGGTAATTCATGTTTATTAAAATGGTTCCTTTGAATCGCATAAGTCGAAAGGTTTGTGGTATTTTATCTTGTGAGGGCTTGAAATTGCAAATTGGCTCAGTAGGATTCTTTGTATCTTAGGCATCTTCATTAAGCTCATTCGGTATGTTAAAGAGGAATACATAAACATAATTCATACATATATATTCAATAAATCATAAAAAAAAGGAATTTCCCTATTAGTAATACCATTGTACGAGCCATAACAAATCACAAAGAAACACCGCTGTTTATTTGTGCAGATTAAGTGTTGTCCCCACTAAGTCCATTAATTCGAAAAGAAAAAAACAACTTAAACAAGTGAAGTTGTAGTACAATAAGAAAAGTACCTGTAATCTTCTAGAAAGGGCCTCATCATCAGAAACTTGTCACGATCTCTTTTGTGCAAGTACCACATCTTGAACTCCTTTAGTTAAAGGTTTTTTCTATTTGTTTGGTGAAGACTTTTTTCTTACATCATCAATATCTTTATATTTGAATAAGTAGTACCCAAGGATTAGTTCTATTCTATCACCATCTCTGATTGTTAGCTTTTTTCGAGATAAGAGCTTCTTCCTTTGATCCTATGATCTAATGACAGTTGGGTTTGTTCCTTCCTACAAGCACATACCTTATGTCAAATAGACGTTGCATTTTTGACAATGTTATAGTGTTAAAGGGATCAAACAGTGGGTTATTTTGGTTATTTAACAATGCTATATCTGAAATCTATGGTCTGACATATAAAAATAGTACTGTTTCGGTTTATATATGTCAAGTGCAAAATCTTTCATTGCTGAAAGTGCATATTATATCATCCTGTGAAAACTATGTTCTATTTCCATCAAACTAAGTTTTTAACAAGTTTCATACTTTCTCTTTGAATGGAAGAATGTATAGGATATATTCCGGTTGATCGTCATCACTGGAAGTTGCATTATGACAAACACGCCTATTAATCAGATTAAAAGTCTAAAACTCGTAATTGGGGCAAGGGTATTTTGATCTTTTAGTATTATGAATCATTGTTTATATATATATATATATATATATATATATATATATATATATATATATATATATATATATATATATATATATATATATATATGTTATTCGTGTCCTTGGCACCTACAACATAAATATCTTGAGATGAAAATGGAGTGTGCTGCGTGGATAAAGATTTGTTATGAATTATTTCATTTACAAATATTTCACATAATAATTAAATAAGTAGAAATTAATTATTTATAAAATAATGGGAATGTGTATGTTCAGGTTGATAGATTTCACCGGGCGTCCCCCTAGGTGGCTCTGAGCACAGGAGAAAGAATCAACATATTTGGTCCACATGAGAATATCATCAAAGTCATGAAATTAATTCGAGCAATAACATATGAGGTGATTAATCCACTGTTCTTAATTTATAATTAAATTTTTATAATATATATAGTAATATAAATTAAGGTTTTAATTTGTTGTATGAATGCAGCCTGCGGAAGTTTCTACAGCACAAGAGGAATTGTGGCAGGAGTTTAACGAACCTTGTTGGTGTGAGTATTTTGAACGTAAAGAAGCAGAAGAAGCCATGCTGAAGGAATCTGATGTTGGAGATCAAGCAATATAACAATAAACAAGAAAAAGGGTAACAGGGGTAAAACTAGAATTGGCAGCCGAATAATTTTCTTATTGAATGAAACTTACTAGCAACCTAATGATTGATTTGCTTTAAAAATGAAATTTCAACTGATGAATTGTGATCACAGAACTACTCTATTTATACTACTAGATTTAACAGAAAAGAGAAACACTAGGGCCAGTTCAGTTTCTAACGGTCACGACTGCCCACATTTTTATTTTTCTTAATTACCAAGTCAATCCTTGACCAACATTTCTCCCCCTCAAGGTTGACCTTTCTTCTTCAGATCTTCTATGCCAATTAGTGCTCTCATCTCAGCAAACTTTATCCTTGGCATTGCCTTTGTTAGAACATCAGCCTTCTATTGATCTCCACTCACATGTTCCTCTTGAATCTGTTCCCTTTCAACACACATACGAATAAAGTGGAGCTTTGTGTCTATGTGCTTGCTTCTACCGTGAGACACCAGATTTCTTATGAGTGGAATGGTGGATTGGTTGTCGATTAGCAGCTTCACCTTCTGTGCTTTCTTTTCCATCTGCTCACTGAACATATTTCTTAACCACAGTCCTTGACATGCTGCTACAGTTGCAGCCATATACTCGACTTCACATGAGCTAAGTGCCACTGTTTTCTGTTTCTGCGATGCCCATGTTATGAGATTTCCTGAGTAGTAGAAAGCTACTCTAATGGTTCCCCTTCTATCTTCACAATCATTGTTGTAACTACTGTCACTGTATCCCACAAGTCTTCCATCGCCTCCCCTATGATACTTTAGCCCGTACTAGGTTGTTCCCTTCACATATCTCAAGATATGTTTTATAGCAGCATAGTGACTTTGTTTGGGAATTTGCATAAACTTGCTCACCACTCCAACACTGTAATTGAGGTCTGGTCTTGTGTGGACCAGGTATCTCAAACTCCCAACAAGCCTCCTGTACATTGTTGCATTTACTGGTTCACCATCTTCATCTTTGGTTAACTGGAGTTTTGGCTCCATTGGGTTTTCATCTTTGGTTAACTGGAGTTTTGGCTCCATTGGGTACTGGGAACTATTGCAGCCTTCCATTCCTGAAGTCTTTAAGATCTTTTCAGCATACCCCTTCTGTGTGAGCATTGTACCATCCTTACCCTGTACTACATCAATTCCCAGGTAATATGATAACAATCCCAGATCACTCATATCAAACAAACAATTCATTCTATCTTTGAATACTTGGATTCCCTTCTCACTTGACCCAGTGACTATGAGATCATCTACATATACTCCAACTATGAGAGTCAAGTTGGGTTTGTGTACCTTGTAGACAAACTGTTCTTGAACGCATCTGGTGAATCTGAGTGACTTGAGTGACTGGTCAAGTTTTTTATTCCATGCCCTTGGTGCCTATCGCAACCCATACATGGCCTTGTGAAGGCGATATACCCAGTCTTCCTTGCCTTTGACTGTGAATCCAATGGATTGACTTACGTAGACTTCCTCCTTAAGATCACCGTGTAGGAATGCTGACTTGATATCCAGGTGATGTACAAGCCAATTTTCCTTCGTCGCTACTGAGAGGATCAATCTTATCGTCTCCAGCCTGGCCACCGGTGCAAATGTGTCGTCAAAGTCGACACCCCTTTGCTGAACGTAACCCTTGGCGACCAAACGAGCCTTGTGCTTGATTACTTCCCCAGCTGCATTCTTTTTCGCCTTAAATACCCACTTTATGTTGGATTAGTGTCTAAGTCCATAACTATTTGGTATGTACTTGACCCGATGGTGCATGATCCTTTTGGGTTGCCTTCACCAAAGCAACTTGATAGGATGAATTATGGAGCTAAAACCCATCACTTTACCCCTATCGCCTTGAAATTTGGGGGTTGCCTGGTTAAAGTCCAGGTATTGTTTTTCTCAATTGATATCACTTCCGTTTTCATGGCTCTTTTTCACCCTTCTTCACTTGATGCTTCTTTGTAGGTTGTGGGTTCATCATCAACCAACATTAATTCTTGATTACTTCTATACAGATCCCGTATCTGCTCCTCCTCCAGTCTTGTCGTATTTTCATATAAGTTGTTGATTGAGCGAAAGCGCCTTGTTGGTGTGTCATCATATGAAGCTACAGACCCGCTTTTTGAATGGATCATCGATACTCGACTGGGAGGTGTCGAGTTGGTACCAGGTACATACGACTATGTCGAGTCTTCAAGTCGTGAGTCATCCAATCCAATGTCTCCGTAGAGATCGTTTAACGGCGTCACAGGGTCTTCGTTAGTGTTAATTGACTGATCAGGATCTTAGGCTGCCTGGGATTGGGCTCCTTCATGGACAATAACATTGGTCCAGTAAGGCGTTGAAAGTGGCTCCCCCATTGTTTCATTATTCCAAGCCCAAGGCCTTCCTTCGTCAAAGATCACGTCTCGAGTTATCACTATCCGTCGACTGCTGGGGTTAAACACACGGTCCCCTTTTGTTCTTTATTCTGTTCCCAGGTATACCATTGGTGCGCTTCGATCATTTAGTTTGCTCAGGCCTCGCAATTTCTTCACAAATCATACGCAACCGAAGATCTTCAAGTATGCGATCGAGGGTTTAGAAGCTTTCAGTGATTCGTATGGGGTTACGTCTTTGAGCGCTTTTGTGCTTGTTCTGTTCAACAAATACATTGAATGTCTCACGGCCTCTCCCCAAAATTGATCCGGTATCCCCATAGCCTTGAGTAGTGCCCTAGTCATCTCCAAAATCGTCCTATTTCGACGTTCCACAAACCCATTTTGATGTGGGGTGTGTGGTGTTGTCAATTGTCGCTTGATTCTCGCCTGGTCACAAAAGAACTGGAATGGATTCGAATTGAACTCACCTCCACAGTCAGTTCTTATCATCTTTTTTTTTTTTTTTTGAAAAGAAAAAAAAATAAATAATAAATAAATAAAAAATAAAAAAAATAAAAAAAATAAAAAAATTGAATTTGACTTTGTGGTTTCTTTCTTTCTCAACTTGCAAATTGAACTTCTAAAACATGCTCAACGCTTCATCTTTTGTTTTGATCAGGAATACCCACATATATCGTGAGTAGTCATCCACGATTAAGAGGAAATATTGATTCCCTCCTTTAGTTGCTGGGGTGATGGGTCCGCATAAGTCTGCGTGCACTAGCTGTAGTGACTCTTTAGCTCTCCACATGGCTTCCTTTGGAAAAGCTTGGCTTGGTTTCTTGGCCAGCATACATCCTTCACACACCTATGATGGATGAGTCACCTAGGGCATGCCTAATACCATCTTCTTACGTGTCATCTCCTCGAGTGTTCTGAAGTTAGTGTGTCCCATGCGTGCATGCCATAACCATGAGTCATCGTCTATACTCATGGCTAAGCACACAGGCTTCCCAGGTGTAAGCTTAATTTTATAAAGTCTGTTCTTGGATCTCTACACCTTCATAACCAAGCTTCCTGCTTCATCATACATTCTTAGGAACTCCTTCTTCATCCCTATGTTATACCCCTCTTCGGTCATTTGTCCCAGACTTATTATATTACTATGCAGGGCAGGAATATAATACACATTAAATAGGAGAGCACCTTTTCCTTTGATCGGAACCCTGGACCCGTCACCGAATCGAACCTGCCCCGTTACTTTCTTGTCAAGTTCAGCGAATAAGGCCTTGCATCCAGTCATATGGTTACTAGCTCCATTGTCTAGATACCATATGTTCTCTACATTGTTTTCTTTGAATTGGTTTGGGTGAACTTTTTCTTCATTCAATAGGACTACTTCGCTATTCTCTTCACCACAAACAGCTAGCAATAGGGTTGGTTCTTCTTCATCAGCAGCCAAGTTTACTTCTTGGTCCTGCTGCTTCTTTCCCTTGCACTCCGATGCATAATGACCAAGCTCTTGGCATTCATAGCATCTGATGTTGCTCTTGTCTCGTGGCTTTTTGTTTGTGTTGTTCGCCTCCTCTCGCGAGTCACCACCCCAGCACCCACCTCTGCCACGAGATAAGCCTCGCCCTCGTGTGCTGGCTCTTCCACCCCAATTATAATTACCGCCCCTTCCTCGACCACATGTTGAATTTTGCTTGCTTGGACTCCAGTGGGTTGACGACCCTTCTGCCTTGGTAAGCAGTAGGGCATTATCTCCCTATGTGCTTGCCTTCCGGAGCCGGAGCCTGTCCTCATAAGCCTTCAAATGCCCAATTGCTTCTTCAAATAGCATTGATTCCATATCACAACTTTGTTCAATTGATGCCACCAGGTTTATAAACCTCTCCGGAACTGTGTCGAACAACTTTCTCACCAATTCTTCATCTTCCAATATTGCCCCTGCACTCCCAAACTTTGAAATCATGGCTTGTATCATTCCTGCATAATCATCTATGGTTTCAGACTCCTTCATTTGAAGTGCTTCAAACTCACTCTTGAGTACCCTTAGCCTTGCCTTTTGGACCCTCTCTGCACCCACATACCGTGACTTTAGAGAGTCCCAAACTTCCTTGGTTGTCTTCTTCTTGGCAGCTTGTGCAAGAATCTCCTCTGGTATAGATTGGAAGATGAAAGCTCGAGCCTGCTTGCTCTTCTTCTCATCCACAACCACTCCTATTGGTGGCTCAATGGCATCCCATAACCTATGGGCATCCATGATCGCTTCCATCTTAATTGACCAGGTGTTGTAATTTAGTGAGGTTAGCATTGGACATTGAAGAGTAAAAGGATTATCTTTGGGCTGATTGGATGATGATGGGGCTGTCATCTTGTTGAATCGAGAATACTTGGGCATACAATTGATCAGGATCTGTTTTCGCTCTGATACCAAATGTTGGAGATCAAGCAATATAACAATAAACAAGAAAAAGGGTAACAGGGGTAAAAATGGAATTGGCAGCCGAATAATTTTCTTATTGAATGAAACTTACTAGCAACCTAATGATTGAGTTGCTTTACAAATGAAATTTCGACTGATGAATTATGATCACTGAACTACTCTATTTATACTACTAGATTTA